TCTTCCTTACCAATATGGATGCCTTTGATTTCCCTTTCTTGCCTTATGGCCCTGGCTAGGACTTCCAGTACAATGTTGAATAGAAGTGGTGAGGACCCTGAGCTTCTTATAGGTGGCATCACCATCTGGCAGGGACAACCATTTCTCTCCCACTGTCGAGGTCACCTTCTTGGGAATTTCATGGAGGAGGGTTTCCCACTGACAGGGAGGCAGGGAGAAAATGGGATGCCCCTATCCCTGAGGAGTTAGGGCTCTGCCTGATACACTAGTGGGCCCTAGTCAGAGGGGGTATTTTTGTCAGTGGCTGGAGCTATGATAGCTTAATCCTCAGATGCACCCCAGTCACAATCCAGAAAAACTGGTGCTATAATAATGTAAAGACCGTAAGTCAGAAGGAAGAAACTTTGCCGTACGGGGGCTCCCTGCGCTCTGGTCGTGCTCAGATCTCCAGGGTGAGAAATCATGGCTCCCCAAGATGTGGGGATCCCAAACATGGCACCATCCTTGGCCTGGGTCTCAAGACTTCCTGTCTCTCCCCCAGGCCTGAAACCGAGCTGCCATTCTGTGTGCATGCCTGCATCTACTGGCCTAGACATGGGACACCTGATCCACCCTCACTCCTGATCCGCCCCACCTCCCTTACCACTTTCTTATTCTCCCACTCAGCTGCCCAGTTTCCACCCTCCACCCAGCCCACGTCACCTCTCTCCTGACTTCTCCCCTTCCTGTTCTGCCTCCTCTCTCTCAGCCCAGTCCTCTCTGCACATAGTTCTAACTGATCTGGCTGGTCTTTCAAAAAATTCACAGTATAATTTCAGTGGTCATCCCAGAAACCCAGGCTTTTTCCTTCTTTGTGGCATTCTTTGCAACTCCAATGACCTGGCCCTCCTCTGGACAAATCAATGACCTCACCTTCTTTGCCTTTTTGATCTTCATGTTTTGACTTTGCAAGTCCAAATGTAGCAGTGCAGACCCTATAGCATGTGAAGGCTTCAAACTTCAACATTCAGAGTATTAAATCTACAGGAGATAAACTGGGGTCCCCATCAGGGCCTCTGTACTGCAGTCCTGAGTGGATGACCTCCTTCCCACACAGGTGTGTTCTCGTCACCTAATAATTTGCCTGTCACCCACTGCCCATGGCCATTCTCCAGCCTGTTGCTGGCTCCTCCCCACCAGGCTTCCATGCTTGCAGGCCATGGCCACACAGCCTCCTGGGCATCACACAGAACTCCCCTGCTGTCCTCACTAGAAGGAAGCACTTCAGGCCTCCAGCTTCTGAGGGCTGGAAAAGTGTGCCTTCCTAATAAAACAAACTAAGAAGTTTAAGATTGGTGTGATTTCCTTGCTAATTGTTTAGAAGAATTCACAGGTGAAGGTATAGGTGCCTAGAGATTTTTTTTGTAGGAAGGCTTTTATTTATAGATTAGTTTCTTTAGCATGTAAGATATTCAGTTCTTTACTCTTTTTGCATCAAATCTATGCATCTTGACAAATATATACAGTTGTGTAGCACACCACACTTTCCATCATTCCACTAAGTTCCCTCATGCCTCTTTGTACTCAATCCACATTCCCTGCCCAGTCCTTGGGTACCACTGATCTGGCTTTTTTCTTTTTAAATCTCTGTAGTTTTGCCATTTTCCAAAATGTCATATGGATGGAATGACACAGCAACTAGTATTTTGCCATGTAATAAATGGGCCAGAGAAGAGATACAGGTGGCAAAGAAGCACATGAAATGCATATGATGTTCAATATCACAAGTCATTAGGGAAATAAATTAAAACCCCAGCATACCATGACACACCTAGAAGAATGACTAAACTAACAACAGATCTGACAGTATCAAGGGCTGACCAGGATGCAGAGCATTGAGTTGATACCTACCATCTTAGTTTGTTTTCTGCTTCAGCCTATTTCCTTTTCTCTCCTTGCTTAGGAGTTTTGGACTGTTTTGAGATTTTTATTGTTCTATTTCCTCTCATTTACTTCCTAGATAGTTACACATTTTTAAATTATTTTTGAGGAGATCACATGAATTTCTGAATTTGTAAGTTGACTATAAATTTTGCTTTTCACTATTTCCCAGTGTACTTAGAGCATTTTGACTCTATGTTGATACTTCTTGACTTTTGTGATATTGTTGCCATGTATTTTACTTCTATAAATATTTTGAAACTCACAAGATATTTTATACTGTCGATATTCATCGACATTTATGTATCTATAGTCTTCTTCTGTCATACCTAATTTGTTTATAAATGTCTTGTTTGATCATGAAAATTTTCTTTCTGCTGTAAAGCTGCTTTTTATATTTTCTTTACTGTAGCTCCAGCTAGTGACACACTCCCTGTGTTTCACTTGCATTGGAATGTCATTATCCTCCTCCCATTTTGGACAATCTTTCTCCACAGTT